ACTTGTCCCACCTTATAATTTGGACGAGTGGCGACTCCCTTCTTTTTTATATTTTCACACTTAATAATCCCATTTTTTAAGTGGTCGTCAACAGAACCAGACTCGGATGTGGAAGAACGAGGGTGCTTATGACAAAGGATTATACAAGCAAGCCACACCATACTTTTTCTCTAATTTTCCAGATGACTGGAGCTATGCAGACATGTGGAGAATTTTTCGAAAATATGGAAGGGTGTATGACATTTATAGTCCCAACAGAAGAAGCAGAAATGGGAGTAGATTCGGGTTCGTGAGGTTTTTAGACGTTAGAAACAGAAGGGAGCTGGAAATGCAACTTGATCAAATCTGGGTTAGAGGCCAGAAGCTATGGGTGAACACACCAAGATATGATGATGTGAAGAAAAAAGAAGGGGAGCGGAGGGAGTATCATGCCGTTGCCCCAAAAAATCAAGACAGAAGTTATGCAGAAGTGGTGCGGGGAGTACAGGAAAGCGGACCGAAAAAGGGGAGCGATCTGCTGCTTAATCAAGAGGTTGAAGGAAGGCCAACAAGCAGTAGAATCAAAACTAAGACTGAACATGGAAGCTTCGAAAATAGGAAAGTTTGGAAGAAAAAAGGAATAGGAAAAAGGTGGGAGGGAATGGAGTATAATGCAAAACCAGAAGACTATGAATGGCTTAAAGGGTGCTATGTAGGAACGGTTCATTCCGTTGAGATGGTTCGAAATCTCCAGGAGAAATTTTACATGGAAGGGTATTTTTCCTGTCGGATTCGAGCAATGGGGGGGAAGATGGTCTTGTTAGACTGTGAGGAGAAAGAAGAACTGAAGGATCTTGTGGAAATGGCCTCAGATTGGCTAAGCCAATGGTTTGAAGATGTGCGCCCGTGGACACCGGAATCAGTAGCAAATGAGAGATTCGTGTGGATTAGATGCCAAGGGGCACCTTTAAATGTATGGGGGCTGGACTTCTTTGCAAACATGGCCTGCTCTTGGGGAAAATTCATCTGTTTAGATGATAACACAAGCAAAAAAATGAGATTTGATATAGCAAGATTTTTGATATCTACTCCAATTAGCAATACAATCTCAGTTCGGCGCCAAATACAAATCAATGGGAGAATATACAATCTGAAATTCACTGAAGAGGAATTTACAAATAGTTTTTTTTCCCTAAAACATGACTTTTTCCCAGCATACCAAAGTGATTCCGAAGAGAATGAAGGATGGTCCACCGAAAGTGAGAGGGAGAAACACGGGTCTGTATTGGCAGAGGAGTTTGCCCAGGTGAATGGAAGCTGTCTCCAGGAAGATGATGATGACGTGGCGGGTTGGCAAAGAAGGGAAATGGAGAAACCTCGGGAACAAGCCACATCGGGGAAAGGGAAACAGTGCAACACAGAGGAAAACAGCCTGGAACACATTCAAAATTTGAATGAGGTTGAGTTTAGAGTAGGGGCAGAGGAGGCGTGGCTGCTGCAGGGAGACGTTGCTGTGTCAGGAAGATTGGGTGTTGTGGAGGGAGAATATCTGGGCCTTTGTGAGCAGTCCGAGCTGAAAGAAGACAGCACAAAGTTGGGCCCGGGTGCTAAATCCAGGCGGACAGAAGGCAGCTCTCAGCTGGGCCTTAGCGAGCAGGATCCGACGGAAACAGGGGGGAAGCTCAAGCCACAAGCTGAAAATACCGATTTTGAAGAATCAATAAATTTGGGCTGGACTCAAACACAAAAAGGGAAGGTAATTAAAAGCCGGTCAACTATTGAGGGCTCTTCTAGAAATAAGGAGGTAGAACAGAACAGCTTGGACATTGCAGAAGGGGACCCATTCTGGAACGGGTTTGAAGAAGAACAAAGAGGCATAGAAGAGTGGATCAAGAAGCAAACAGAGGAGGGCTCAACGAAGAAGAAAAGAAGGATCAAGATGTGTAGATCCGTGTATGCTAAATCAAGAGCAGTGGGTATGGGTCCAAAATTAAAGAAAGGAAGAAGAAAACAGGGCAAACAAGACGCAGAGGGGAGATCCGAGCCAAGCTTTCTACCTGGATCAAAGGGGAAGATTGCAGGCGACTCAGTAGGTGATAGTGGCATCCAGAACTGCAATAGATGTTTGAAGAAGCAAATGAAGAATAATTTAGTAGTGGAGATTTGGGACCTTGCGAAAAAGCTAGGGGCAGTGGCTGAGGATGATAGGGAGATCATTCAAAGAATTGAAGAGATGGAGAGTAGAGACAGCCGAGACAAAGCAGAGAAGGCAAATCACGGTTCTGGAGAGGCGAGGAAGGTAGGTCTTGATCCTGATGATTTTATTGTCATATAATATTAGGGGTCTTGGAGGGATTGGGAAGAGAAGGCAGATTAGGGAGTTAGTTAAGAAGGAAAAAGTGGAGTTTTTAGCTATACAAGAAACGAAGCTGCAAGCTGTAGATAATAGTATATGCAGAGGAGTTTGGGGTACGGATGACATGGATTGGATTTCAAAACCAGCGGCGGGTATGTCGGGTGGTTTGCTGTGTGTCTGGAACCCTAAGGTATTAAAATTGACAGAGGTGATTGAGGGAGATAATTTTATAGGGGTGACTGGTGTATGGGGAGAGGACAAAATACTGGTGCACATTTTGAATATTTACTCACCTTGCCAAGTGACGGGTAAAAGAGCCTTGTGGGAGGAACTACAGCGTTTAATTTTGAGTAGAAATGGAAATTGGTGCCTTGCAGGAGATTTTAATGCTGTAAGAAGTATAGAAGAAAGAGCAGGATGTAAAGGGATGAATGTAGAGATGGAAGAATTTGGTGATTTTATTCACAATGCAGGGTTAATTGATTTACCACTGGTGGGTCGAAAGTATACGTGGTATAACTCTAATGGAAAATTTATGAGTAGAATTGATAGATTCTTGATTTCAGAAGGCTGGTTTTCAGTATGGGGAGATGTGAAACAATGGGGTTTGCGTAGATCGGTGTCGGATCACTGTCCTATTTTACTGAAGGAAGAGAAGATTGACTGGGGCCCAAAACCATTTAATTTTTTTATGCTTGGCTGGAGCTACCAGAATGTAAGGAGATTATCAGAACAGCATGGAATTCAAACGATATAAAGGGAGGGAAGGGATATAAGCTTAAGGAGAAACTGAAAATGACCAAGAAGGCACTGAAGGAATGGAGCAGCAAATCAATGACAGATGTGGATAAAAAAATCAGTGAATCTGAAATGATGATAGCAGAAATAGATGAACAAGGAGAGAAGAGCACATTGTCTGCTACTGACATTGAAAAAAGAAGAAATGGCTTTTTAGATTTATGGAAGCACTTGAGAATAAAGGAGAGAATGTGGCAGCAAAAGTCAAGAATGGCGTGGCTGAAAGAAGGGGATGCGAACACAAAGTTCTTCCATAGGTGTGTGAAGGGAAGAAGCAGAAGAAATGAAATCAACTTCATCCAGATAAAGGGAGTACAACACACTGGGGTTCTGGGAATAAAGCAGTTGCAGAACACTTTGAAAAACTGTTTACAGAAGAAAATTGGCAAAGACCAAGGCTGGATGGGATTAGTTTCAACCAGATTTCTGGGGTTGACAACGAACTCCTAACAGCCGCATTTTCTGAAGTGGAAATCAAACAAGCTATATGGGATTGCGGTTCCTCAAAATCCCCAGGCCCGGACGATTTCAACTTCAAATTTATTAAGGAGATGTGGGGAGACATCAAATCAGAGATCATCGATTTCGTACAAGAGTTTCATAGGCTCGGACGACTTGTAAGAGGATCGAATGCATCCTTCATTGTATTGATTCCAAAAGTTGAGAACCCACAAAGGATAGAAGAATTCAGACCCATTTCGCTCATTGGGGTCATGTATAAGATTATAGCAAAATTGCTGGCAAATCGCCTTCGGAAAGTGCTGCCAAAGATCATCGGGGAACAGCAAATGGCTTTCATCGGGGGTAGACAGCTAGTGGACGGAGTTGTGATAGCGAACGAGGTCATTGATGAGGCTAAGAAAAAGAAGAAAAAGAGCTTCCTGTTCAAAGTGGATTTTGAGAAAGCGTATGACAATGTCTGTTGGGATTTCATTGATTATATGATGAGGAGAATGGGATTCAATACAATCTGGAGAAATTGGATACGGGAATGTCTAGCATCGAGTTCGGTTTCAGTTCTCATTAACGGAAGCCCAACAAATCAATTCCCGGTTAGTAAAGGGATAAGACAAGGCGACCCGCTATCACCCTTCCTATTTTTAATAGTAGCTGAAGGATTAAA